ATCGATAGAAGCATCCCTGGGGGGTCCGATACTGATTTAAAATGCCTATTCTGTTTAAAGAATGTTTCACTGGAAGTAATAAACAGAACAGACCAAAGTTTCCTCCCAGTTAGCAATAAACAATTGAAAGATAAGATGCTGATTCAGACATTTATTTAGCCACAGTTTCCTGTGATGATTACATTCTAACTCAAAATTAATAACACTGAATGTTATATATTTTGAAAGCTCTCATCTACCATATTTTCTAATGTGCCCAAGTTGAAAGAAGGTTTAGACAATAGTAATTTAATATCTACCATACAGAGAAAGTAAATTTAAATTAATTACTGTAAATAACAATAATGTGGCATGAGTAGCAGCCACAGAGGTGGCAGCAGCAGTAACATCCAGGTATGGAACATCATATACTATCAGGGGCTCTGTTACGAGCTTTACATGTATTTCATTTAATCCTCCAATCCTGCCACTTTGATATTATCATCTCTACTTTTTAAATGACAAAGCAGACCCAGAGGTCAAGTCTGTCCAATGAAGTTGGATGAACAATTGGGGCGCTCTCTGGAGCACCTCTAGGAAATATCAGAGAGTCTGTGGAGCAGTGATCACACGGATTCAAACTGCTGCTTGACTCCAGGCTGCCTCTAAGACTCACTTCTCCACTGCTAGAGGTATTCTGATGAGGGCAGGATGGCCATGTCTGCAATGCTGTAGAAAGCATTTGTATTCTCTGTGATTCCTAGGTTGGAGCTCCTAAATACTCTGAAAATGGATGCACAGTGTGTATAATCTCACATTTCTGGCAAGAGGGTTTTCATCAGATTTCAACAAAGTCCACCATCCAGAGAATGTTCAGAATTCTCTTCTAGATATTCCTTAGAGCTTGGTTTTAAGCTACAAGATCCAAGAAATCTTATCTTTGAGATTTCTAAGGAAATCCCACATATAACATCCTGGAGTGTACTTACATTTAAAAGAAAGTGGAGGCACTTACCCGAGAGAAAATTTAAAATTGTAACTTGAAGTAAGCAGATAGCCAAGGCAAAGAAAATAAGGTGGGGACTGTGGCTGAATTATCTATCTCATGGTGGTAATTTTCTGTTTCCATTACATATGTAGAAAAAGGTACTGCTTCAAGAGACAGAAAAATGAGCTGAGTTTATCTGAATTATCAAACTCAAAAAGATACGTTGTATAAAGTTATAAAAAGTGCCGGCAAAATATGCCAACATTAGCAATTATATTCCTAAATAAAGGGAAAATACAGAAACTAGTTTTAAACAGCAAAGCAGTATAATTCTACAATGGGTAAAAAGTGCAGCTGGAATTTTTCACTTTTCTTCCAAAGAAGTTCTGCTGAATTTCAAATATTTTCTTTGAATAATCATGTTTGACAGACATAAAGGTTAATGTTAGCAAGATAATTAAAATTAATGATGGCAATGTCCACTGGGCTATGTCTATGCAGGTGTTTCCCTCCACTGTTCCCACCCCAACATAAAAATACCTGACATATAAAATTCTGAGCTTACATATAATATATTGGGAGTGATTATTTTCATCCTTTCTAAAACCTGCAGAATTTCTTCATGTAATAAGTTCTTATGGGTTTTTGATAAATAATTTGATTTTCACAAATGTACTAGGTTATACAAAATTTTAAATACATACTTATTGAATAAATTGAGTAGATACTATTAGAGGCATTGCTTCCAATCCTCCATAACATAGCTGTAAAGTTAAAAGTTACTCAAAAGGATCTTCAAATGTTACCCTATATAGAGCCAAGCCATTTACTACCCAGAACTGTACTCCAAACTTACTATTTGATACTTAATTAACATAGAATTTTACATCCGTCCAGCTATCTATCTTTATACATATGGTCCTTAAAAGCGGCAAACTGGAGGGATAGTGGAATGTTAGACGCCGGCACAAAGACAACTGGCAGATAGGGTGACATTAAGTGAAGAGACAGAAAAACAAACAAACCTGGCATACTACTCTACTAACACCCCACATATTAATGGATGCTTGTAATGATGATATTGAGCCATCCCCACTAAATTAACTTACATTTAACATATACTAATGTGGCAAATTGTATACTCCAAAGATGGCCACAATAATGACTTCTTCTATAAAGTGACCTTGCCACTCTCCTATCCATGAGTGTAGCTTAAGTCCCTTCCCCTTGAATCTCCATTGATGAATAGAAAGAATATGGCAGAAGTGAGGCTGTGTGACTTCTGAGGCTGGGTCATAAAAGGTGATATAGCTCCTGTCTTGCTCATGGGAACACATATGCTGGAGCCTTGAGCCACCATGGGAGAAGTTTACCTTCATGCTGCCATGCTAGAGAGGCCACGTATAGGTAGGGGCTCCAGTTGATAGCCCAAGCTGAGCTCCCATCTTAGATGTCCAGCCCCAGTACGAGATGATTGCAATCCCAGCAGATGTCTGACTACAACCCCATGACAGTCCCCTAACAAGAACTGCCTAGCTGAGACCAGCTAACGAACAGCACCATGAGAGATGATACTAAATTGTTGTTTTAAACCATTAAGTCTTGGATTGATTTGTTATGCAACAATGGACAAATAGAACAGCTAATTAAAAGGTTAGTGTTATGTATATAGTTCAACCACAATTCAAAACATACTCCTGAGTATGTCCTTTGTGCTAGGATACGTGGTAGGGGTAGATGGCTTGTAAAAATTTTTCTGTTTAATCTTTACAACAACTTTTTTGAGTAGGTATTATTTTTACTTAACAGAAAAGGGAATTTAAAATTACTTTTTAAAAGTTCTCGTCAATAAATATTTTTCTTTCAAGGCAGCAACTTCTTGAATTATGCAATGTTTTAATGACTACTTTTAAGGAAAATATTTCCAATTTAAAAAATAATATAGTTATCTTAAGAATATTACATTATCTTTGTTTAATTACAGTCTATTTATTAATTTTTGTCTGGCATCTCCCTGTTATGCAGTTTTTCCCACCCCCGGACCATTATTAGTTGATTCTTGGTTGTTTGTTCATGTTATATTAATATAACATAGGTCCTTGTTTATATTATATATTATATAATCAAAGATCAACCTCAGAGTTTCTCAGTAAGTGTGGTACCACACCCAAGGGGCATTTTTGGAAATTTGAGAGACACTATCTATTGTCATAGTACCATTTTTGGTATTTAGTGAGAGGGTGCCAGGAATGCTAAACATCCTATCATTATGGGATGCTTTGGACAGTCCTGTGCAACAAAGAATTGTCCTATGTCCTGTAGGATTTTCAAATGTCCTACTAGACATTTATATTACAATAGTAAAAAAACCTTGTTTTTAATTACTTGGGTCTGGAACGTAAGAGTATGTTAAAAATAGTTACAAAAAGGGAGCTGAAATTCACGAGAGGCAAAAGTGCCTGGAAGATAGGAAGAGGGAAAGATGGAAATGTTTGATCATTTAAGTTTTCCCCAAAGATCTGTCTTGTGGGATGTTGGAAGTTACTGAGAGCATTGCTCTGCTTTTCTTTCTAGCCCAGTGCTGACTCTATAGGTATCTGGTGACAGATCATGAAGTTTCTTTGGAGAGGTATTCTCTTGGTCCTAGCCTAGGAATAAATGCCTGAGCCAGCAGCTCTGAAGAGTAGGGAACTGGTTCAGTTATTACATAGCCCTTTAATTAATTACCCCGCTGAGTGCCCCAAGGTCTGTTCCTAGTCTTCCCTGTCTGTGATCCTGGGTTTTTTTCCATGGTTCTACTTAACTCACTGTTTCAGCAGTCTTGTCTTTCATATTTATTGTGTTTTGGGGTCTTTTTTGGTCAGTTGAATTGTCCCTTATTCCATCTGTGGTATATTATTAAAAAATTCCTCAATGTCAATTCCACCCTTCCAGGTTTCCAGTGCTGCTGTGGATTTATTTTTTTATTTTTTTTA